TACCATGCTTAATACACTTAATTTAAGAAATACACTTACCATACGTATTTTTAAAAAAAATTAAAATACAATATAAAATATTTAATTAATAATTGTCAATTAAAGATTTTTTTTAAGAATCAATCATATTTCTAATAATTGTTAGAAATAATATATATATATATGTATATATATTATATATATATATATTAGTATTTACATGAAAGTAACATATATGTTAATCCTATATAATAAGGATTAACATAAATCAAATTTAGAAATAATTTCCCACTACTTTCATTTATTATCTCTTAAAAATAGTAAATCGGATTTTTTTTCTTCTTTTTTTTATTAATAACATCAAATACTTTTATATTGGTAAACAATAAGGAATCAAAATCTGAATAAATCTCCTATTTTCCAAACAATTTGGAAATCCGAATAAATCATGATTTTAGAAATCGTGATTTCCAACCAATTTGAAAATCCGAATAAATCTCCAAGAAATATCATGATTTGTATATATCATGATTTTATAAATTTGTTCAAAATTTTCTTTGCATGAATCTGAATCATAATTTATTCAGCCTATTATTATATTATTAAATAATTAAATTGCTTGAAACCGTATGCTAAGATTTGTATATATCATTTTTTCACCAATTAGACTTTTGTCTTCATTATCGATTTGAAAAGGAAAATGAATTTCATATACCTTATCGGTTTTGATAATACAATGTTATAATAATAATCATTATTTATTTTAAAAGATAGTGTTTGTCATTTATTTTATTTCAAAAGATGAAAAAAAATTCATAGTTTAGGTCTCTTTTTATTTATGCATTCACACAAATTAATTTAAAAACTCTAATAACGATTGGCAACAAAATTTGTTATATATTGATTCAAACCAACTAATTAATGAAAGAGTCCATCATTCATGAAATTAAAAAATAATACACGATCACTACATTTCAAATATTAAGTTTTTTTAGATAAACATTCATTTACATTGTCATGACGATAAACAAGAGTGAGTGTCAATCTTATAATTTTGATGATTTCAACTGCTATATTTCCAATGGTTTTTTTACCGTAGGAATTTTCGTTGGAATATGCAAATTTCGTTGGAATTTTCATTTCCACCCCGTTGAAAAATCCACCGTTGGAGTTGTCAAAATCCAACAAAAATTTTCATGGATAATTTATTCATACGGAATATTTTTGTTGGAATTTCCGTTGGAATCCATTGAAAATTTCCAACGAAAATAATAGTATTGAAATATCCGTTGGAATTGTCGTTGGAATAATTTCTTTTCGAATAGATTTCCATTGGTATTTTATCATTTTATTGTAGTGTGACCAATAATCAAACTAATAATGTTGTTTACAATTAGGTTTTTAATAACATATAATTTTTCATACTCAAACATTTTATGAGCATTTTCCGCTCAAAACATTAATTACCTACTATAGATGGAAATAATATAAAATGATCTAAATAAAAAATAAATCATTAATTGAATAATTTTCATAAATTCAATTTTTGGTTTGTGTTTGTTTTAATAAATTCTTGGTTTTCTTTAATAACGTTAATAGTGGTTTTGTAGGCCAAAATTATGAAAATAATTATATAGCTGATTTTGGAACTCTTATTTATCAAGGATAACAGATTTATTAGAATAATCGATTTGGATTAGCATATATGTTACATACACACAAAAAAAAAAAACAATGTTATAGTAATATTTATATTTACATGGCGTCAATTTTGGAATTCTCATTTGTGAGGATTCTTTTTTATTTTATCATATTTATTTGAACCAACAATTACAAAATATAAATTTATATTAATATTTTAATAAATTTTTCATTGTAGAAGATTTTGAGAATGAACGATTTTATTTGAGATATATACAAATCTTTTTTCTAGATATACACCAATTCCCTTTATTGGTATTCTTTTTGTCAATTGTTTTTAAAAGGAAAATTTTCAAAATTTTGTATAGTAAATAGACTTTTTGTTTTTGTATACACAAAATATAAATTTATTGCA